ACCTGAACCCGTGTCAAGACATAATCGAGAAGACCGGAGGTGGGAGAGGGCGGAGGTAGCCATCACGGCTGGATCCGCAGCTAGTCGTACGATCCCACCCTCTTGTCCACAACAAAACTTGATCAGGATTTTAACCAACAACAAAGTGGGTCAGAAGAAGGAGGATGGATGGGCAACTATGCACACGACCCGTATACACAGCGGGAGCGCAAGCGCATCTACCGACAGGGAACCCGGTGCCAAAGAACTGCCAGCTCGCACTAGGCTGCGAGGCCATGGTTTGCTGAATCATAGCATAGCAGATGCACGCAATCCTTACAGCCCAGAACCGTGAGACTAAGGCCTGCATTTATCCTGAGCCATCAGCCTACAAAAGCCGGGTAAGAAGCCTGTCATTGACTGAGAGGCACTGTCCATAAAACACACGTTCACACACCTAACATACATGAGAGTGCCAGAGGTTACATTGAGAAGGAGCCGTTGCAGCCTAACTCTCAGTCCATCAGTCCGCCACTTCACACAAGCACATGCAACTAGCCTGGCTGCATAGGCTCTGTTTAGACGTCCGTCGGCATATTTTGCGGACGGTTATCCAGTGGGTTAAGATCGGAGCATTCTTTAATATCGACGTGAATCTTCAAAATTAGATCCACGAATTCTTTGTGACATTACCCGCGGATTTCCTCAAGCGTGGGACTGATAAACTACCTGAAAGTTGGGAGCAGGTTTTAGACAACTAAGGAGACTATATGTTTGGCTAGTTCTGTGTATGATGTTCATATATACATACATATACACGAGATGCTACCGACAAAGGCGAGGGAGACCGGGATGGCCATTTCTGGCTTATTAGCCACCATCAGCCAGTAATACCCAACCCTACGTGCGGAATACTTGAGATTCGAGCCCCCGGATCTTTGGTCATGGAAATTGACACTCTGTCACTGCGCCACGGGCCCGTTGTCCTGTCGGCTGTGATCGGGAATATCAATTGTGACAGATTGGTGCTCGCCGATCATCTTGGTGAACGTGCTGGTTTCAGTGTGCCTTGTCTTTGTCAGTAGCATCTCATCTACGTCTACTACTAGTCGCTGTGCGACTGCCGGCGAGTGTTCTAATATGAGCCCAAAGGCATAACGAAGCCAACACGTTCCGTAACTTGATCGGTGAGCACCTATCTGTCATAACTATATACATTGAATAGCTGAGGTGGTGTGCATTTTGAAATAATATGATGAAAATAGAAGGCTCCTCGGAAAACTCGAGTTGTACTCATGAATTTTCAAGATGCTGACACCAACACATCGTCAGACAAAATAAACAAAAGAGGAAGTGAAATTCACGAATGAAGGCGAAATTTCGAGTTCCAGGTGCATGCATAAGTGAAAAAGATTCGAGCACCGGAACACTTTGTTCATTATCCTGAGCTTTCAGACTCGTACAGGAGTCCATCGTCATAGGTAGTGGCAGCAACAGAACAGACGGCAGTTATAAAGCATGTAGGCCCAATCATCGACTGACGGCTCAAGACTGGAGGTGACTATGCAGGGCTCTGTATGCCGGCGGCAGATCGATAAATCAATTGGCCGGGTTCTCATCCGAGGTCCAGGCTTCAATCAATTCTCGGCCTGTTTTGTTTCCGGCGTGGGCGACTATTCTGGTGGCTGCGAAGCTAAACTCGTGACCCATTTCGTAGGTGTGGGCGGCCACTTGTAATAATGCGTCGCCTCGTCGCACAGCCAGCTTATTTTCGTGTATGTGCGATCCAAGCATGCGTCCAGTCTGTCCTGTGTAGTTACAAGGACAATTTTGACACGGAATGCGATACACTACTCCAGATTGCTCTTATGGCTTTAGCCGGTCTTTGATTTTCATGACCCTATTGTGTATGATGGCTTTGGGGCGGTGTACAATTCCAACACATAGCTCCGCAGCAGTGCGCTCGCACGCTTCTGAAATGCCAGTGATGTTTGGCAGAGAACTCCATATCGTCGGTGGCGTTGATGTTCGAGTTCTCTGGTGGCGACCGCGTAGGCAGCGACTTATGAATGCCCTCGGGTAGCCATTTTGCACAAACTGGTCGCGGAGATAACGGGCCTCACGTGCTCTCTCCTCCGGTTTGCTGCAGTGACTGCCTTATAACTGCCGTTTGTTCGGTTGCTGCCGCTACCTCTGAAGATGGACTCCTGTATGAGTCTGAAAGCTCAGGATAATAAACAAATTGTTCCGGTGTTCGAACCTTCCTCTTCACTTAGGAAGTGAAATTGTCAGATTAAATTGGTTGGCGCGACAAGACAGCTACGGACAGCCAAGCAACTAGTGTGTGAAAGGGGTAGGCACATAATTGGGCTAGGATCTAGGGCAGGGGAGGGAAAGGCGGGAACTGTTGCAGCTCCCTGTTTTGGAGGATCGGGGGGGGGGCAGTGATGAGTCAATGGAACTGCAGACAGTGGACTTGGCGGCCGTCAATCCGGCATGCGGGCAAAGGTTAGTGCGTCAACGTAGAGGTGTTAGGGATTTCAGTTGCGGTTAGCTGTGTCTGGGGGAGGGGTTGGCAAAATAGTGAGCTTCTACATGGCCCCAGTATGGATAGACGGCTGTTGTTAGGTCGTGGGCGCAGGTCAGTGAGCGGGGCAAACAGACCTTCGTAATGAGCGTCAAGATCGACATGGCGATTGATGTTGGTCGTGTTAGAGTGCCAGGTTTCGAGGACTTCTCGAGCCTGTTTGGTGATTGCTATACTAAAAAATTCAGTTCCTTCCCATTTGAAGCGATTATCTCATTCTTACTTATGAAAGCATCCATCCTGCAGCTCATAAAAGGAGCTGTATCCGAACCCTTTCCATCGGGCCTATCGTTACTGCTGCAGCGATGATCTACTAAAGAAAGAACTCGCCTTATTGTATCAGTTATTTCGGCTCAACGGATACCGGGGAGCTTTGTGAAAAATTGTCTCAGACGTTAGTGACAACCAAAAGTCGTTGGTTCTAATGAAGGACCAGCGCTACGGAAATTATACTCTCTACCCTACATGCAGGGCATTTGCGAAGCGATCGCCTGACAATTAAACGGGTTTTGCATCTTCATTGCCCACAAGCCGGTGTCCTCCCTGCTCTCAGCTCTGTCCCGAATAAAAGACCCTATACCCAAAGACCAGCAAACCAATGTCATCCAGCGCATTCCGTGTGCTAACTGCTCTTGCGACGATGTTGGTCATACAGGTCGACGACTTGGGACTCGTATAAATGGACATAAACTAGTCACTTGCCGCCGTGACCCTTTGTCACTCGTGTTTGTGCACGACCTTGAATGCGACCATCGCTTCAATTGGGAAGGAACACCTCTACGTTGACGCACTGACCTTTGCCCGCATGCCGGATTGACGACCGCCAAGTCCACTGTCTGCAGTTCCATTGACTCATCACTGCCCCCCCCGATCCTCCAAAACAGGGAGCTGCAACAGTTCCCGCCCTTCCCTCCCCCGCCCTAGATCCTAGCCCAATTATGTGCCTACCACTTTCACACACAAGTTGCTTGGCTGTCCGTAGCTGTCTTGTCGCTCCAACCAAGTTAATCTGACAATTTCACTTCCTCATCTATTTATTTTGTCTGACGACGAGTTGGTGTCAGCAGCTTGAAAATTCACGAGTACAACTCGCGAGTTGCCGACGAACCTTCTACCTTCAACGTATGTATATGTATGTTATCACGATAAAATTTTGGATAATTGATGAGTGCGCCGACTTATAGGAGAACCCTATTAATTGACGACATCTCACGGGATTTATCAAGATTTATCAGTAGGCGCGAAATTCTCCTGTCATCGTATGCGCAAATTGCACATCAACTGAAAGAATTTCGCACAAAAACATCGTATCATATACTAAAAAGTCTTTAAACTGATAAATCTGATGTATCTTTTCGCAGTTTTCTCTGGGATATTTGCGCAAGCCTAATACTTTACTGGCTACATCAAACATCACATTGTCTGGTGTTATCATGATGTGTTAGGGCACACAACTGCACAGTAACAAACTATGATAGTTAAAATAATGAGAGATTCCGCTTTCCTGAAAATACCACGGTCATTTGCGTTTTGCCCTACCCGATTTATATGAACTGATAAATAAATGTCCGAATCGTCAAAAGTTGTTTTGGAAAAAAAGTATTTTCCTAACCATTAACGCCTACTGTTTGAGAAACATGCAAAAATATATAGATATGGTCTGTGGTTGTTAATGGCTTATAAAACTCTCTAGATATAAAGTACGTCAATTTCATGCGCAACCTGTGGACATTTTATTGGCAAAATTACTTGATACAAATTCTTTGCGAGGAAAGTGGTCGTACATGACGTATTAGGCTAATAAGTAGAGTGTAGGGATGTCCAGTTGTGGGTCCACGTCATAGAAGTAGTAAGTTATTTCACTTGTTTGCAGGATGTGACTACGCCTGACGTCCATTAACTGGCATCCTACTCACATTCGCAGCTCCCAAAGTTGGGCCACACCCCGTTAACCGCCTCGACCGGCGAGCTAAACCAGGTAAGGGTATCCGGTACTGTGCCCCTTCACACGCGGTAACTATGGCCCCTTCCCCCCTCCCCTCCCCCTCCCCCACCCCTCTTCTCTCCCTCCACTCTTCACTTTACTGTCTTTCCCATGGCCGAAAGTCCTACAGAGAGGGCCATCACATGGGCGGCCCAGGACACTTGGGTCGCTCTCTCACTAAATAAACACCCAACCCACGGTGGACTTCGGCAGCTGTCTGGAACGGCTTAGCAGCCTTATTTCGGGGGAGCACCGACCGCCCCCGCGAGGGAGAGGGGGCTATAAAAAGTGGGCTAGACAATTACGGGTTCACGACATCTGCGCGCAGACAGTTACTCGCAGACTGCAGTACATACGGTCTAAACAATAGAACAAGAAACGTCCATCTTATTCTTCACCCTCCACCTCCCTCCGCCCCACCCCACAGGCTGTTATGGCGAATCCGTTCACTCAGACAGTCTCGAATTTTCGTTCGCGTTTCGACAATGCCAGGAACAACAGACTGGCACGGAGGACGACGTTACTGTCTCGAGAAGTGACGCGCCAGAAGGTGGACATTGTTGCACCCAGCAACACCTGTTCCTCCGAAGAAGGCCAACTAGAGGAGGTGGGTGCCGACTGCGACTCCTTCTGAGCGGTCGCCCAAGGGCAGGGCGACGAGGCACGGGCGTCTCCTTTGCCATTTGGAACGACATCGTGGAACGAATGCCCTGTTTGCCGCAGAGCATCAACGACCACCTGATGAGCCTCCGTCATCCTCTCCTGGGAGGTAGCTTCGCCACCAGCATCAACACCTACGCCCCAACGAATGTCCGGCTCAGACGAGGAGAAGACCAAGTTCGACGAGGACCTGCACGCCCTCCTGGTGTCTGTGCCAAAAGCGAATAAGCTTATGGCCCCTAGTGACTTCAGTGCCCGCGTCGGAACAGGCTGTCCTGTCTGGAGCGAAACGCTAGGTCCTCATGGAATCGCCGACTGCAATGACAACGGTCTGCTCCTCCCGCAAACCCGCGCAGAACACCGCCTCATTCAGACCAACACGTTCTTCCGTCTTCCTAAGCAGGAGAAGGTGATTTGGATACACCCTCGGTCGCCAAACCGACAACAAGGTGAAATAGACACGGTGATTTGCGTGTGAATGTAGACTTTCGCTGCATCTTCCGCACTCTCACCTCCCCACCTGCACCCGATGTCAGGACATAGCCAAAGCAAGTTGAACCTGGAGTTCATATACCAGAAAACACACGGGGAAAGCCGGGGGACCCACTGACGAGCAGAACCCCTCGCAGCTGCGTCAGGCAGCGGCATAAGATCGGCTAAACACGCGTGTCTGGGCATTTCGCTAATACCTGTGTTGCTAGTACGGTAAGTCATTGCACAGAACCAAGGAGTTCGGAGGCGGAGGTGGACGCAGATGGATGGCGCGGTCGAACCCGGGCCTTGGCGCTTCATTCCACAGCCCCTGGTCCACATAGCAAATTACCAGGTTTTCGACCAACAACAAAAGTGTGGCTGGCACGGCCGGAGTCGCACCTAGGCGTGCCGCCACACCTGGCTCGGATCCCACGGACTGGGAGTGCCATAAAGGCCACATTAGAGAGAAGCCATTGCAGCCTGAATCTCAGACCACCAGCAGGACACTCCACACAAACAAACAACACTGGGCCGACTGCGAGGTCCAATTTATCCCGTCAGTTGACAACCCTCCGAGCCACGGCTTTTAGCACACCGTGATAGCTTCAAGCGCGTCAGACTGTTTATAGGGAGGAAAATGCGCTGATTCGTCCACCTCACCCTCCCTTCCGTCTCATGCCCCAGTCACTCTCGGAGCCGGCCAACTGACGGATGTGGGGAATGGACGCGGTGGCTGACATATCTAGTGACCTTGTTTGCGTGCGTCACATGCACGACCTGGCCCCCCAAACACAAGCACCAGGACTTCACACAACGGGGGTTGGGCGGCATGCATCTCACATGCGTGAGAGTGCCGTAGGTTACGTTAAGAAGGGGCCGCTTCAGTCTGGCTCTCAGTCTACCAGTTCGGCACTCCACACATAAACACACAAATTAGCCGATTGCGCGGGCTGAGTTGGGACGTCAATCAGCAGCCGTCCAAGTCACCGCGCTTGACGCACCGAGATAGCCTTAGACTCGAATCACACACACAACAAGGAAGCAGCATGGAGACGGAGCCGAAGCGTACACTTCCCACTTGCGTAGGAGGTGGAAATTGGATGCTTGCGTGGGTTCGAATCCCACCGAGGCGCCGAGTTTTTCACAGTTGGGTCAATAAGAATTAGTCAAAATCTGCCAAAATATCAATGAATTACGCGAGCCTGGTAGTAATCTGGTGGATTCTAGGTGAATTACTTAGGAAATCCTGCTTGGGCAGTCAACTTACTGTATCAGATTTGGTGGATTCCAGACGTTGCAGTAGGTTGGGGGGGTAACTTGACCCAAATGTGATTAAACTCGCGTCGTCCGGCGGGGCCTCGTAGCTCGAGTGGTTAGAGCGTTGGCTGTGCTAAGGCCTTCCCCTTACTGCGTGGGTTCGAATCCCACCGAGGCGCCGAGTTTTTCACAGTTGGGTCAATATGTATATGATTATGTTGTGTGGTGCAGGTGTCGGTAGGGAAGATGTGATGGTGTGGTTTAACCGGCGGTTGTCGACCGCAGGTCTTTGTGAATGCGCATGTGGCCTAATAGGCCCATGCGGTGGACGAAGGTGCTGGTGCGGTTAGTGCAGCTGAGGCGGATGCGGCGAGTGTATGTGGGTGATCCTGGCACTGGTTCGCCAGTCTCTGTGCGGCATTGTGGGTTCGCAAGTGGCCGACCAGGCTGATGCATGAGGTTAATGTACGGGAACAGTATGGGCTAGAAGAACCGGCAGTGTCGGTGTCGGCTTCGGAGATTTTGGCGGTGGTGGAGCTGCTGATGGTGGATGCGCTGGACGACGGAGCGTGGGTTAAGCTGAGCATGGTAGATGTGCAAGATATGCTGAATGTGGTGGAGCTGATGGTGACGGGTGTGTTGGGCGGCGGGATGTGGGTGGAGCTAGGCATGGTGGATGTGTAGTAGGCGTTAGGTGTGTTATGGACATGCATGCGACCGAATAGAGCCACGCGGTGGATGAATGCTCGGGGACACTGTGAACAGTGGAGGCGAATGCAGTGAGTGTAGGTTGGTGCCCCAGGCACTGGTTCGTCAGCCTCTGTGCGATGGATTCGCAAGTGACCGACCAGGCCGATGTGTGAGGTGGAAGTGCGGTGGCAATGAGAAAAGGTATGGAAAAAGTCAACGTCACTGGGACTGTTGGTGGGGGGTGGCGGGTTAATGTTTGCTGGTGTGTCAGGATTGTGTGCAGCCGTGGTGGGCACAGAAGCCGCCGTAGCGGATGTTGAGAAGACAGAGGAGGAAGAGGAAGGGGGAGGATGGTAGTGGGGGTTCGGGAGTGTTGTTAATGTTAGTTGTCGGCGTGGAAGATGAGAGAGAGTTGGACGAGGAGACAGCAGCTGATCTAGTCCGGGTGCTATAGTTGGTACGAAGATGTCCTACAAGGCCGATTGCTGCCCGGAACGTCCGCTGGCATCGTGGGCAGGTCGGGGGTGGTTGAGCGTTGACATTGCTAGTTGGGTGCAGTTGGGATTTGCGAGAGTCGCGTTTGGCCTTGGCAGCGGTGATGCGGTTGGTTTCGTAGATCCTTGCGTCTGTCTTCACTGTCCCCCACCAGATTGGTCGATTTCCCGCCAGTTGGCCAGGTTGATCTGCAGACGCTTCAGGGAAGTCTTCAGAGTGTCCTTGTATCGACGAACTTGGCCTCCTTGTCGGCAGAAACCTGTGACGACATCTCCGTAGAGGAGTCGTTTGAGTGCCTGCTCGTCGCTCATCCGCACGAGGTGGCCGCTCCAACGCAATTGCAGGTGTCTCAGCATGGCGTTTATGCTGAGAATTCCCGTTCACTCCAGTACGTACGTGTCCGGGATCTGGTCCCGCCATCTCGGCTTCAGTATACGTCGAAAACCTCAGAGATGGAAATGATTGAGCTTTCGCACCTGCTTCTTATACACCGTCTAGGTTTCCGCTCTATACAGCAGCGTCGGCAGGATGACCGCCTTGTACATCTTCAGTTTGGTGTTGAGGTGGAGACCATGACGATTTAAAACTGCGCTTTGCAGACGACCGACGGCTTAGATCGCTTTTGAGGTCCGGCGGGCCACTTAATCGTCGATCTTGGTGATGCGGAAAAGGGAGGTGAAGTTGTCCACGACTTGCAGTTGGGTGCCGTTAACGTTGATTTGGGTTGTCCCGTAGACAGCGTCGGGTAGCGGTTGATGCGTAACCACCGTTTTCTCCGCGTTGCTGACCAGGCCGAAGTTGTCGCAGGCGGCAGCGAAGAGGCCCACGCGTCTTTGCGTGTCCCCTTCCGAGATGGCGTTCAGGGCACAGTCGTCGGCCAAGGGAAGTTCATGGACGGTCGTTTTGGATACACGCAAATGGAAGTGCGTCGGCCGCTGATTGAGGAGGTGGCCATCCGTTCTGTAGGCCATGCGGACGCCAGGACGTTCATCGCGGTAGGCGTCCATCAGCATGGCAGAGAACATGAGACTGAGGAGGGTAGACGGAAGGGCGCAGCCTTGCTTCACTCCGCTGGTCACTGCGAATTCCTCTCAGACAGCTGCCCTGTCCGTGACTGGCGCCATCATGCCACCTTGGAGCTGACGCGCCATCTGAGTGAATCGTTCGGGGCAGCCGAATTTTTGTATGATTTTTCCCAGTCCTTCACGATTCACCGTGTCAAGGGCTTTCGTCAGATCCACGAAGGTAGAGTAGAGGTGGGTCCGCATCTCCTAAAACTTCTCCTGCAGTTGACGGTCGGCGAAGCTCATGTCGGTGGTTCCACGATGACGGCGGAAGCCGCACTGGCTTTCCAGCACCAGATTCTGTTCTAAGTGGTTGTTCAGACGGTTGGGAAGCATGCGAGCAAAGATTTTCCCGACGATATTCAGCAGGGAGATGTCTCGATGGTTGTCGCAGATTTGGCGGTTACCGTTCCGCTTATAGAGATGGGTGATTGTGGTGTCCTTGAGATCCTGCCGGACTCCTCATTGACGTCACATCTCCTGAAAGAGCGCCGTCAGATGATCCATGAGTTGGTGGCCACCATGCTTGTATATCTCAGCAGGGATCGCGTCCGATCCGGACGCATTCTCGATGCAGAGCTGCTTCACAGCTCTAATGGTTTCGTGGAGAGAGCAGCATGCCCGTGGAATTGTCGGTAATGACGCTGACTTATGTTGCATCTAGACCACTCTCTTTCCACACCCTCTATGCCTCGACGGTAAGGCCAATGCATGATGAGTGTCGGAGCATTGGCTAATTGAGCTAAAAGGACCATCTCCGCGTGCTATAGATTACCTGGTCTAGCCCCATTAACGGATGAGACGGAGCTCGCACATCACATGTGTAAATAAGCCATCAAGGCGGCATAGAATGGAAGCTACTGCAGTCTGGCCCTAACCCCTGTGTAGGACCGAGTAACGCCATCATTTGTTCCCTTTCCAGCTCATCACTCTTACCTGGTCATGTTAGGTTTTCGATGCGTTTGAGTGTTTCTAGAAGGAACTACAGCGTTACTCTGAACAGTCCCGGCATTTATTTCTCTTTTTTGTTTTGTTTTCCACACTGATGTGGCTTACTGGAGTAAAGCCCATTGGGAATAGGGTTCGGCGCAGTGACTGATATGATAGGTGGCTGTCGCCCGACGCCTGCGAAGCACATACTCGGATCTCACACAACCGAGAAGGAGAGAAGGACAACGTACGGCCTGAGCCATTGCAGTCCGACCCTCTCCTAGTCTCTCTCCCATGTGGTCCAGCTGAGTATGGGACTTGACATGTAGTGAAAACCTCCGCGTATACGTGTTACACATGGGCTGGTCAGACACCCTAGCCTACAGAAATTCGCAAAGCGAAGATATGCATATTTTCACAGACGACACTTAACACTTGATCAGGGCACCGGATAATGCATCGTGCAGTTGTCGCGGGGACGATTAAAGATGTTGTTTTGATGGCCATCATGTATACGCGCGCGACTGGACAAAAAAGCACCGTCCAGACATGTTTAGATGCGCATATAGAATTAGACGGTTAAAGGATGCCAGGACTGTACTGCTTTATTCGGCCTTTTTGTGTGCACGCATATGACTGTAAAGAAGATGAAGACTCGATCTCTGGGACAGTGGGTTTATTAGTCTGAGCTTTCGGTCTCGTACAGGAGGCCATCGTCAGAGACTGTGAGAAGGCAAAATCAAATGAGTGGTTTTTGTAGTCACGCCATGAAGGGGGGGGGGGAGATATGAGTGCAGAGGGTGGTATTTGCGATAAGTTGCGTCCCACGCCGTCTCACGGCGGCGTGACTGCGTGCACCCTTGGCTGGAAATTGGGTCTCCCCCCTTGGCCGCGGGAACGGAGCGCGTGATAGCAGGGGGGTATATCAACGTGCCTGTTGATAGCGTTGGTGTCAGACACCCAGGCCTCTAACAGTTGTCGTCCTGTCTTATTGCTGGCCCGCGCCACTATCCGCGTGCTCGCAAAGTTGAATTAGTGGCCTTCCTCCAGGGTGTGAGTGGCGACCTGAGACAACGGGTCGCCTCTCCGGACCGCCCGTTTGTGCTCCGTTATTGGTGAGCTAAGTCGTCGTCCGGTTTGTCCAGTGTAGAGGCGAGGGCAGTCCCGACACGGGATCTTATAGACGACGCCCGATTGTTCACCCACGTCAGGGCGATCCTTCACTTGCATGATTTTGCTGCGCATGGTCGCTGTCGGACGGTGAGCGATACCCACGCCGAGCTCTCCAGCGATACGTTCCATCGCTTCGGATACGTTCTTTATATATGGCAGAGGGTGCCAGAGTGTTGGTGGCTCTCCTCCGTTTGTTCGCCGTGGGCGCGTGCGGAGGCAGCGGCTGACGAAGCTGTTCGGGCATCCATTCCTTGCCAGTTGGTCCCGAAGATGCCGAAGTTCTCGAACTCGTCCCTCTGGTTCACTGCAGTGCGTTTTTACCCTCTGGAAGAGTGTCCTAACACAGCTGCGTTTATGCGCCATTGGGTGGTTGCTGTGGTAGTTGAGAATCTGAGTCGTGTTAGTCGCCTTTCTGTACACCGTGGTGTTGAGTTCGCCGTTGGGTGTGCGTGTGACGAGAACGTCAAGGAAAGGCAGCTGTTCGGCATGCTCTTCTTCCCTTGTAAACTGGATGTCTGGGAAGATGCCGTTGAGCAGGTCTTGGAAGTCGGCCAGTCTGCTCCTTTCAATTGTGACGAACGTGTCGTCCACGTACCGGCGCCAAAATGCAGGTTCATAGTGGTCGAAGGCGACTTTTTCCAGTTCCTGCAGGACTAGTTCTGCAACCAGGCTGGATATTGGCGAACCCATCGGCGTTCCTTTGATCTGCTCGTATGTTCTGCCATTGAAGGTGAAGAAGGTTTGTTGGCAGAAAGCAAACAGTTGCGGTAAGTGGTCGATTTTTAGGGGTTTGTTCGTCTCGTCGTAATTCTCTTCGAGTCGTTTGCGAAGAAAGTCGCGTACCAAGTCCGGTGGGATGGACCTGAATAATGAAACCACGTCAAAGGACACCATGATCTGCTCCGGTCGGACAACTTTTCCTCGGATGTCGGCCAGGAATTGGGAGGCCGAATTGATGGAGGTCCTTGAGCCTTCTCGGAGAAAGTTAAGTTTTCGGGCCATCCACTTGGATAGATTGTAAGTGGGGCTGCCTTTCAAGGCAACGATTGGTCGAAGGGGAACATTGGGCTTGTGGATTTTGGGCAATCCATAAAACCGGGCCAGTGCCGTGTCCGTTGGTTTCATCTGTCGCCATTCGTCCAGCGATATAGCACTGTTTCGCCTGAGTCGGTTCAGGAGTCCAGTTAGTTGACCAATCATCGATTTGGCTCGCGAGGGAGGCGTGGACTTGTAGGACTGTTGGTCGTCTAGGAGGGCTTGTGCCTTTTCGTTGTAGTCAACGCGGTTCATCACGACGGTTGCTCTTCCTTTGTCGGCTGGCAGCACTATTATACTTCTGTCCATTTTTAATTGCTTCATTGCTTCTATTTCTGCGGGCGACATATGACTGAACAAATGAATGCAAGACATGAATTTCCTGGATTGTTGACCGCGGGTGAGGCATGCATGGTGACTCTTAGTCGGGGTTCCATGGGTTTGTTCCTAATCGTAACGCCAGCATCCAGCACGGACGACGAAATCACGGCAATTAACGACTCGGACTCGGACTGACAAGCCAACACCGCATCGATTACGACCCCATCGGTGATTGCGAGGGCTGTTAATTACAGTGCGCATACGGTCCAACGGTAGGAACGTGTTATACATACTGCACTCCTGGTGCCACCATCACCTTTATCTGCGAATGTCTCTGATGATGGATTCGAGTGAGAATCCGAAACGTCAGGCCAATAAAGTTCTTGTTCCAGTGATCGCATCATTTTCTTCTGAACTGTCACCTGGAACTCGCCTGTTCGCATCTATCAACAGAGCGGGTGATCTGATTACGGAATGCAACGAACCGGGATATTCGAAGCAAAGTATATTTTGTACACGCCTCCCAAGGCGATTTGAAGGCAGGATTCCCAACTACTAAAACCTTTGTGCCTCCAATAGAAACGATGTTTTAGTGGACTGCAGGAGTGTCTAGGGTGCGATATTTGAACATTCCACATCGCCTCTCCTGTAAAAAATTGCTCTACATTTAGAGAGCACAATAAATGTACAAGACGGATAAAGCTTAATGTGATTGTGAGACTGGGGAGGGGGGACCATTAGGGTCAACAGTTGTTCCTCCTTTTTTCGCATACACCGCCGGTCTCCCTCTCCTTTTGAAGGGGAAGTGGTAGGCAATCGTGCTTGCACTGCCAGATTGTTGTTTATGTTCCGCGATGTGTGCAGTCAACGCACCGACACAGCCCGCCAGCCCAGTCGTACACTGGTGAGGATAAACAGTCTAACCGATAGGCCGGCAAATCGGCCGGTACTGTCGCCATTTATTTTTTGCCAACGACTGGTAGTAGGATTGGAATGTGATCCAGGAAGAGAAGCCTGCAGGATGCGCTCTCGTCGAATCGTTTTACCCTAATCCACTAACCGATATGCGGCAAAATGTTGCATTTATATACAGGTTTGTTTTTGAAGCTGGGACTGTGACATGACCTAGCCGCCTGAAGTTAGGGCGAAGTCAAAATGGAAAAATAAACCAGAAGAGCTAAGCAGTACCGATGGGGAATGTGTATATGCTTTTTAACCTGAAAATGAAGGACCGCTAGACCGCGCTCTGGGGACTACGGGGAACAGTGCAGTTCTTGACCCCTAACCTCCCAATTATTCCTGATTCATTTGAAACAAAACGTGATCCTTTCGGTGGGCTTTTCAAGGCCGTGTTGCTTGAGTTTAAAGCATTAATTAATTATATAAAGGATTAATAGGTGTTCTTAGCTGATTTGAGTAATTCGTCCGACTTAATTGTAGAAAACTCGAGTGGGGGGTATACGAGATTCAAACCCATGACAGTTGGGTCACAGCTTAAGTTA